TTATTTTTTTTTATTTTAGAGGACACTGCCTTAAATTGATGAATAGTCGTTGGATGCCGTACATTTTTATTTGTTAGCACATATTTGTTACCGTTGTCCGAGTCAATGTTGGTCTGTTGTATTTCTGTTGTTTTATCCAGTCTAAGATCATCTTCTTTTTAATATAACCGTCTGCCCTCTTGCTTGGCTTGTTTTTTTTAAGTACTACAACTCTCTGTTCATTGCTCCAGTACTATAAGAAAAGTGCAATGTCGAGTGGTACTCGAAACAAAATTTAATTTGAATGCATGACCATTTGGTATTTTGTTAACTCAAGCTTCTTGAAGATCTGATACATCATCCAGCGATCACGTTGCTGCTTCGTACGTACGTACGGATAGGACAACGATTTGTTATGCGATGTACGTACGACTACGCATTTGCACGGAGTCGAGAGACCACATGCAAACTAGCAGTTGTTTCGTTCAGAAATAATATTCTTTATAATATATAAACGCAATACAAGATTGTACGTACTAATCCGCTAAGCATGCTGGTGCAGCCAGTGTGCATGAGAATATATTCCGGTGATTAAACTATACGTCCGTACCTGCAAATGTCGTTACCACCGTTGGAACGAACCACCATGCATGATCTATCTGTTCACATTTAGTTTAATCAATCATAAACATAACTATAAAAATTATGGCTTTAGCAGGCGTTTAAACTAACCATATCATCGTGCGATGCAAAGTGATGCATAAACAACAAGCTAAAAGTCAACGCGTGGATCCGTACGAGAGGCTACCAGCAGCCGTACGATCACTCCATCCGACGAATAGAGTGTGTGAACGTATTGGTGTTATGATTTTTTTTCCAAAACTATATGCTCATTCATTTTAGTTAATGAACCATCATAGTTGTAGGCATATCACAAGTGACGATGGCATATCACAAGTGAATAGTGATTGCTAATAAATGCAGTGTTGACTCGGTTACTCAACTATTACTGGTATAGATATCTAAACTAAAGTCCACCGGCGGTCCTCGAACTTGTTCGGCTGTGTTATCCTGGTTTCTAAATTTTATTAGACTCCTGTTAACATGTATTTTAAATTAGAATAAAAGAAATCACTACGTACTTTCTCTTTTTAACTCTGTAGTTAAATGACTAAATAGGCACGTATATTTTTATAAATCCTAAAAATGTACATGCCTATTTAGTTATTGAACTATAGAGCTAAATATAGAAAGTACATGGTAATTTCTTTTATTCTAATTTAAAACACATGTTACTAGGAGTCTAACAAAATTGGATTTATAATTTTTAGAAAGTTCTATAAATATATACAAATTTACAGTACTTAGGGACTGAGATGACACAACTAAACAAGTTTGAGGACTTAAACGGGTGGTTTGCGAGGTTAGGGGCCTAGATGATATAGCCGAACAAGTTTGAGGATTTAAATGAGCGATTTGAGAGTTTAGGGACTAGGATGACACAAATAAACAAGTTTGAGGACTTGAACGGTTGATTTATAAGTTTAGGGACCGGGATAACACATCCGAACAAGTTCGAGGACCGCCAGTGCACTTTACTTATTATATTTAATATTAATTAAAGAGTGAAAATTTATTCCTCAAAAATTTTGGTTCATCACTTTCTCTTCCTGCCAGTACTATGTGACAAATTGAATATTTTAATATTAATTCTCCACAAGAGTATTAGTACATAATGAATTAATTATTAGATTTCTAATAATTGGTTTATTGTCCCGTTCATGGCCAAACTCACAACGTCCAACCACGGGACGGCGTCTTACAAAACGTATTAGAACAATGGCATAGGCAAGATGTAAATTCTCTTGCAACGTGCACGTATATTTGCTAGTAAATACTCAATCTTCACACAAGCATGGATATATATATAGCATAGTTGGACATTTAGAATTTCGAAAATCAAATAAAATATATCCCCGTTTTTCGTGAAGGCGTCAATACATATGGGCTCGTTGGAACCTTCGGACACGGAGCTAAACGTGACCAAAAAAGATCCCGGGGACCCAGCAAGTTTTCGTACCGTACCGGCCTACCGGGCCGTCTCACGAGTCACGAGCCGCGCGCGGCGTCAGGCTGACGCCAGCCGAGACGACATGCCGGCCCCGGCTGTCAGTGCGCGTGAGGGCGCTACGCGCCGACGCGAGTGGAAGCGGTGCCGCAGCGCGGTGGTCCTCCTCCCCCTCTTCCACGCGTGCACGCCACGGCCTCTCCCCTCCCGCGTCCCGCCGCTCGAGGTCGTCGCCCCCACGGCCGCCCCCAGGTCGTCGCCGCACTCGCTGGAAACCGGGCCCCACCGTACGGAGCCCACGTGCCCGCCCGCAAGTACGGACACACGTTTACTGCAGCCGGCGGGGTCTCCTGCCCCCTCATCGATCTTCAAGATTCGTGCAGCCAGTCGCCTGCGATGCGATGGGCTCGCTCGTGACGAGCCGCGACCCCACGACCTGGTCAAGACGCATGCACCAAGCTGCTGGATAGAGTTCGTGTTTTGATTTTGACTTTGGAATTCATCTCGGTTGCTTCTTGTTCATACTAAAGAAAGAGCTGCACCGCCGCTGGATGCAACGTGGTTTGACTTGCAAAAAAAGCTACGTAAGAGCATGTTTCGATCCCATTGGCTTAACTTTAGTCTTTTTTCCCCAACTTTTAGCCTCTAGAAACCAAATAGGTGGGCTAAAAGGGAAGACTCATTTTTAGTCCCCATTAGTCCGTTTGCTCCTCAATATGGGCTAAAGAGGATTAAAAATATTTTTACTCTCTTTTCTCTCCCCTTCTTTTCACCTTTTAGTCATCTTTTAGCACTTAGATCCAAACATCCATCCTAGGTTAAACTTTAGGGACTAAACTTTAGTTCAAGGACTAAAAATCAAAACAGGCCCTGAGGTAAGGGGAAACTAGCTGCACCAGCCCCTGCATGATGCAATGTGGTTTGACTTTGCACAAAAAAAGAGGAAAACTATGGACACAAGTCTATATGTCACTGTTGAATTTATTCAAACTGCAGTATGTCATACACTCCTTTCTAAAAATTATCATGGCCGTAATAATACATCACATGCTATTAGTATATTATTACTGAATTGTTATAATGTGAGATATTTTGATGACAAACAGTGAAATTTGGATACATCCAATCTTTATTCATTAGTCGTAGCCTAAAAACATACTGCCTCAGTCACTCTGTCCTTTTTTAAAGTGTCACTGTGATATTCGTGTCGATCAATCTTTCTTAAGTTTGACTAGGTTTGTAGAAAATATTAACAATATTTGTATACATTTATTATAAAAATAAATTCAACGATCTATCAAACGATATTAATTACTTACCATAGATATTGATATTTTTTTATATATATTTAGTGAAAGTTGAGTACATTTGACTTCTCAGGATCGAGAAGTGAGAATGATAGTTAAAAAGAGACAGAGCGAGTATGCACCCATAAGCAAGTATTTTATACAATACATTGTATTTTGTAATTGTAAAACCACGAATGGATAGTGTAGATTTTTTTTTGAACGTATGAATGGATATTGTAGATAAGATCTATCAAACGCCAATAAGTAATAAAAAATCTATGAGTCATAGCTAAAAGGTTGCATTTGTATCTATTCGAAGTAAAAAACCATCGACGAAAACTAATACGTACACGGCATCCTCTACAATTAAAATAATTGACATACTCCATATTTCGTTAGAGCTGATTATTATAAATACGAACCTTACGAAATCGGATATATTTTGGTCACAAATAATAAAAAGAATTAAGCAAATTCTAGGCCAATTTATCAGTCGTATCTAGAAGGTTACGTTCAAATATCCTATCCATGGGACAAAAATTTTATACAATGTATTGAATTTCATAAACATGTGACCAAATACATCAATAATTAATAAAAATTTCAATACACAACATCCTCATGTATAAATCGTAGCTAAAATATTGCATTTTATGCCTATTCAAATGTCAACCAATAATGGAAGTTTCAATACATGGCATCCTTTACAATTAAAATTACAGTTAAAAGTTTGCAAATTGGAGTAAATGTATCTTGCTAGAGACAATTACAAGTATGGACAAGCAGTAATAGAAATTTAAAATTCCTTGCTAATTTATCAGTCGTATCTAGAAGATACGCATGCATCAAACATTTCTGATTTTGATCAAACATATATAAAAAAGTATTAATATTTATGATGTATAATTAGTATCATTAGATAAATCGTTGACTATATTTTTATAATAAGCTCATCTGCAGATCAAATGATAGTCAAACTTAAGAAAGTTTGAACGACATGATTTCTGTAGTGACACTCTATGCAGAGTGTATATTATAATCACAGTCAAAATATTGCAAATACAAATACAATCCATTTAGATGTTAATAATTAATCAAAATTCCAATACACTCTATCCGTATGATACAAAAAATCATATCTAAAATTTCGGGAAAAACATTTATGTGTATATCTAAAAGATTTCGGGTGAGAAAATCTCCTTATAAACCCCTACTATTGGTAGTTTTCATTTATTAGCCTACCTTTCTCTCTCATCATCTTTGAATTCTCTCACCCCTTTGACATCTCACAAAGTCAAGTGGGGCTGCCGTGCCCTGGCCTGGCCTGCCTTGTCCTGCCCTACTGCGCGAGAGCGCCTCTATAAAACTCCAAGCCCCAAGAAAAGGAAAAAGAAAATCAGAAAGAAAGAAAATAAAAAACCACAGCATAGACTAGTAGCCCTCACCCCTTTTTAGGACAGGATCCAATGCCTTTGCCCACCACACTCCCTCTCTCTCTCTCTCTCTCTCTCCTTTTACTCTTCCCGTAGTCTCCTCACTCTTCCAAAACAATCAATAAACACGCAAAAGTCAGCGCCTCCCCCTTATCTCCTCCTCCGCCCGTTTCCTCCAGCTCCATCCAAGAACCCAACAACTCCGCGTCGTCGTCGTCTGCTGTGCTGCCAATGGAGGAGGAGCGCTGCTTCAACAACTGGGATCTGGACGCCGTCGTGCGCCTGGGCTGCCGCCGCCGCCTCTCCCCGCCGCGCCAGCCCGACCCGTTCGCGTCGTTTCTGCCTCCGCCGCCGCCGCCGCCGCCGCAGAAGGAGAAGCCCGTGGTGCCACCGCCGGCTAAGGAGCCAGAGCCAGAGCCAGAGCCATATGCCGGGTGGCGCTTCCCTGACCTCGGTGCTGGCGGCGGGCAAGACGGCGACGAGCTCCTGAGGGCTCTGTTAGCCGCCCAGCCTCCCCCGCCTCAGCCTCAGCCTCTGCCGACGCCAACGCCAACGGCAACGCTGCCGCCTCCCCCGCCGCCACAGCAGCATCGACAGCCGGCTGTGGCAGCGGTGGACGTGCCGCTAACCCAGGTGCGCCCCGCTCCGGCGAGGGCGCAGCCCAGCGGGCGGCAGGTGCCCGGTGGCGTGCCAAGATCCAACAAGAGAAGGTACGCTGCCCTCGGCACGGCGGCGGTTCTTTCAATTGTTTCTTTTTTTGGGAGGTTGAAAGCTCGGATTTTTTGCAAGCTGCTAACGCTGTTTCCGCGCACTCCAGGAAGAACCAGGTGAAGAAGGTGGTCTGCCACGTTCCGGCGGACGGCTCGTCGTCGGACGTGTGGGCGTGGCGCAAGTACGGCCAGAAACCCATCAAGGGCTCTCCCTACCCAAGGTCGGTCAGCTAGAATCCCTTCTCCCTCTCCGTCAGCTTCTCGCCGGCGTCGGAGCAGACCGATCTCACCGGCGGCTGCTCTGTTTCTTGAACAGGGGATACTACCGTTGCAGCAGCTCCAAGGGGTGTGCGGCGCGGAAGCAGGTGGAGCGCAGCCACGCGGACCCCAACACCTTCATCCTCACCTACACCGGCGAGCACAACCACGCGGCGCCGACACACCGCAACTCGCTCGCCGGCACCACCCGCCACAAGTTCCCTTCCTCGGCGGCGCCTCAGCCGCCGCCGCCGTCCGTGGTGGTGGGCGGCGCCGGCGCCGTCCCCGGCGACGCACAACACCAGCACCAGCAGCCGAGCCCGAGCCCGACGTCCACGTCGACCGCGGGGCTGTCGCCCACGACGCCGCTGCGCATGCCGTCCATGGAGGAGGACGAGGAGGAGGAGGAGGACGAGCTGCTGGTGGAGGACATGGAGATGGCCGGCGAGGACGAGCTCCTGTTCCTCAACACCGACGCCGACGCCGGGGCGCCTATGTCCTCGCTCTTCGACGTCGTCGACGAGCCCTTCCTAAGCTCCCCCTGGGTGACAGCCACCAGCAGCGCCGGCGAGCCAGCCACAGGGGCAGCCGGCGCCGGGAGCTGACTTCTTCAATAGAGAGACAATGATGTGCCGTCCGTCCTTGTAGATGAAACAAAATCAAGGGAAGGGAAGAGACTATAGAAGAGAGCATCTGATCTGCCATTCTAATGCATCCATCAGTAGTAGCATCGTCACCATGATACTAGTAGTAGTTCTAGCATCGGTAGTCAGTCCTGACCAGTACAGAGCTTGATCCATCAACCCTCAAGCAGTTCTTCCTCACTGATCAGAACAACATCTTTGCATTTTGTTCTTTTTCTGCTCTTTTTTTAGGTATGGTTGGGACTTTGTATCTCTTTTCCTTAGGTGCATGTTTTTTGCATTTGTGTATAGAAAGTGGTAGATGATGAACCAACAAAAGGAGTGAAAAAAAAACTAAAGAAGAAAAGTGGATGGTGTGCTTGGGTGGCTCTTCTTCGCCCTTTTCGTATGGGCTTATTTGATCGATAAGCCATGACTGAAAGTACTATTGGTTGATTTGGTGCGAGAGAAAAATATTGTTTGTTAGCTAAAAAAGACGGCTTATAAGCCAAACAAGACAAACAAACACAGAGCGCATGCTTCTTCCTTTCCCTGCTCAACAACTTTTCTTCCTGCATGTAGCTAGCTTCTTCCTGTGTAAGCTTGAAGAGAGATGAGAACCCTTTAGTGGCAATTTTAATCACTTTCGTTGTTCTCAGGAATGAAACCTCCATCTATCTTTGCCCTTTTGATGGTTCCTTGCCACTGTCTTGATGGATGGATCTGTTTGTTTGTGTGGTGTGTGTGGATCTGCTCGGTGCTTTGGGCCTTTGGCTGCTTGCTGCAGCAAGAGTGGAGGATCGGAAAAGGTCAAGGGGTTTAGTGTTATTTTTTCTCTTGGTTTTGTTTGTATCTCCTCTGACTTTTTTTTAAGGGAGGACAGAGGGGGTGCCTGTGTTCCCATGGATTCCATGAGAGCTTTGGAGAGGGAGAGGTCAAGGAAAAGTTGGAGAGATATTGTTAGGACCACCCACAGGCCACATGAATAAACCTACTCCATACAGTGTCACACACTAGCACAAGCGACCGAGTGGGGCTGGAATCTTGATGATTGGAAATGCGAACTAGGTGAAACTGTATAGTATCCGTGCTAACGCCACGTTTTATTCAGGGATATACATGAAAACAATCAAACAACGATTTTTTTCAGAGTTCAACTTTCACACAATTATATATGACCATGTATATACAGTACGGGAAACACTTACACGTAACAAGGCATAATAAAGTTATTTCTCGCATTAATCATATAATTTACAATATGCCTAAGTCCTTAAACATGTCTTGAAGATCTTCATGGCCACTTCATGCAAACTTCATCTCAAATAATCAAAGATGCCGTACCAAGCTTCTTAAAGTAGATATAGCTTCTTAAAGGAACTCTATAATTCACTTTTGATAAATGAAAGAAAAAATTGTATTTGATCTTTTTTAAAATTAAATAGTAGATATAGTCATAAATATATGTGCGCAACCGCGATGGATATTTATCTGGTTGTTGCTCGGTTTCTCCCTCTCTCCCATCCTATTTTTGTTTCTTCAGATGATTTTCGGGTATTAGAAAGCTAACTAATGAAAATTATTGGACAAAAGAAAAAAAAAGCATTTCTTCTTGGCATAATCACCTAATTTATCAAGTAAGTTTTAAGTACTCCATTTGTTTTAAATTATAAGTCGTTCCAGCTTTTCTAGATACATACTCCCTCAATTCCAAATTATAAGTCGCTTTGACTTTTTTTGTTCATCCATTTTGCTATGTATCTAGACATATTATTATATCTAGATGCATAACAAAATGGATGAACCAAAAAAATCAAAGCGACTTATAATTTGAAATGGAGGAAGTAGTTTTTACTATGTATATAGACATAATGTATATTTAGGTGCATAGCAAAAGCTATATATCTAAAAATTAGAACAAAACTAATTGTCTCTAGCTTGCGTGTTCTATTTCATAATGGCCTTTTATTTTCATAATCACGTGTCAAGTCGGTTCATTTATTTTGTAAACTCGGTCGGGGCGTGTAGTGTGTTACTTTTATAACACAGTGGTCTAACTCCTCTCTTTGTAACACAGTGGTCTAACTCCTCTCTTTGATACCAAATGTGCTAAACCTCTTCATTGATCTCCTCTCTGTGGGTCCGGACTGTAAGTGACCCGTTTTGCTTCCTTGTCCAGGGTGCCGCCGTTGGTATTTTATGAGAAGAAAGGTGTAGACCTTTCCAGGTTTAGCCATGCTGCAGACGCTCCACTGCTCCTACTAACGCGTGGGGCACCAAACCAGGTCCCACGTGTTCTTGACGGAAACATGCGAGTGGGTATGTTGGCAGGTCTGTCGCCATTCCTTGTTGACGCAATACTAGAACGACACGGAGAGTTTTGGAAGGGGCGCGTCAGATGGGGCCGGGCTTGGCGTGGGTTTTTCCATTATAATGACAATTCTGGAAATTGCCTTGATGGGAAGTTCTTCTAAAATTATGGTTCATGGAAAGATAGTGTTCCAAATGATGGAACTGAGGTGGATACACAAAGTTTTGCTGTATGTCTTGCATACTGTAATGTGGAGGCTCCTGATTTTTACAGTTGGAGAACGAACTTCCAGTGTCAGTATAATCAACCAATTATGTGCAAGGAATCAAAGAGGCAAACCATCGGCGTTGATGATGTCCTCAAGGGCTCAAGGTATTTGATGAGATGGAGTTTACAGAGTTTGTAAAGCCCCTTAGGACTTGGTTGCAAGGTCAATCTTGCTGTCTTCATCCTGTTAGCACCTTGTTAGATCCTCCATGGTGTTATCGATATAAACCTATAGATTCATAAATTGATTTCTTAGTCTGATATTTTTCTATTATAGATGGACATAATTTTTTTAAGTAATAATACTACCCATGTACTCAGTGATATGCTCTCAAGTGGATATATGCTAACTTTTTTTTAATTGTACAAGTCTGTATATATATTCAGTTAATACTACCCATGTACTCAGTGATATATATTCAGTATATGGTTCTGAAAAATTCAGTGCTCTGTGATGCAGAACAACTCGAATAGAGTATGCTTTTGGTTCCATATGCTTAGTGCAATTGCTTTTTTTCCCTGTCATGCCCTCTTCCTTTACCTGTGTTCAAGAAATGTACAAGAAAGATCAGGTAATTTGATGTTCCTTCAATTGTCCCTCCCCTGTGTGTTACCGTATCATATACTCTTTTTTTTTTAGGAAGTACGATATCATATACTCTTGATGCTTCTTTCCAGTTTGATGTGCGGTAAATTGAATAGCCATCATAATTGATTTCCCTTAATTTGATATTCCCTTCAATTTTCCTTGATTGACTTCCATATTTGCCTTGATTGACTTTCATTGGTTTCCATTTTACCGTAGCCTGCGGGATGTGTGAGGCATGCGTTGAAGCCTGGGCGGGGGAGATCCAAATAACGTTGGCCATCGGATCAAGTTGAAGCCTGTGAGAAAGGATTATGAGGCATAGATTTTAATGATACGGTAATCCTGGGTACAATTTCGTTGGTGCACAATAGTTGTAGTCTCTCAACGGAGGACTTTTTTTTGAGACATAGTATAGTTTTGATTGGTCTCTTATAGTAGAGATGCCTACAAAATCGTTTGCAGCCTTGTGTGAAACGCCTTTAGTGTGCTTAGAATAGCTTGATCCTCGTTGTCCGAATGAGCAATATTTTTTAATCTTTGATCTATAATTTGTGTTTTTGAAAAGAAATGCTTAATCATTTGTTTAATTCTGTCATTTGTTCCCTACATTTAAGTTTGCTTCCTGATCGACATCTTAGGTTTTCATTGTTTTTGTATTACATGTCCTAAATGTGCTCAACGCACTTCTTAGTCACTGCAAAATTATAATTACTATGATTTGTATTATATTATTTGAGCTCTTTCTTATCATTATTAAGAATCATTTTTTTAAAAAGTGTAACCTTGCTTCTTGTTTAAGAAAATATTTGGTAGAGAAAATTGCAGAACAATCTTTTAGAATATGCCACATCTCAAAATTTGTATTTTATAATACGAGCAAATAACAACAACAAAAAATAATGATTAAATATTTTCTAGATTTAGTTAGATTGTTGCAATTTGAACTGTGAAATTTTGATTTTCTATTAATTTATAATTTAATTTAACTTTTGCTTTTCAAATGACCCATCACAACCTTTTTTTTGGTTTTTCGTCATTTGAGTGAGTTTTACTGTTTTTCTTTTGCTTTTGATCCCACTTTATTCGCACTTTATTCAAACATTTTATTCGCAACGCCACAAATTTAGTCGCAATAGTAGGATTTTTGCAACAAGTACCATAATTGGTTGCGACACGTGGCACTTATTGCATCTAAACTATTGGGTTGTGTTAGGCCAGTCTTTAGTGGGGATTTCATGGCCCTATTACCAATGCATCCATATTTTAAAAATAGTGCATAAGAGTTTCATCCCCATGAAACTCTCTCTACTCCCATGAAACTCTTATCATCTCTCTCTTCATCAATACGGTGCCACATCAGCCTATTTAATGCTTATGAAACTTTGATGAAACCCCACTGAGACTGGCCTTAGTCCTATCCTCCGTTGCGAGAGGTACGTGTTATGGCCACGATTAAAATGTAGTTGCAAGTAAGTGTAAATATTTCAACAAATTAAGTGCATTGTGTTAATAATAAGTTTGTGTTGCCATAACAGGTCGTTGTTGCCACCATTTGAACGATTGTTGCTTTATTACCACCAATTTCCTATGTGGCTATATTGGAGTATAACTCGTTACAAGTATCCGTTATAGTTTCCTCAAAAAAAATATTGTATTACCACAGAAATTTGTTTGAGGTTAGGCTAAATGACGTTTTAGGGAAAAAATGAAAAAATGAAAATGGTTAGGCTAAACGACGTTAGGAAAAAAAAATGAAAAATCAAAAAAATAGTTTGCATATGAGCTTTGAACCTGCACGGTAACCAATGCACCACA